CCACCTTAAATAAAAGTTTTGTTATATATTCAAAATTTCAGAGTTGTTAAAGGATCTAGATATAAAAATGTGGTATCTGTATCTAGATAGATTTTTTAATAAAATATCGGTATCTAGATATTATTTTAGACGATGTATCTGTATCTAGAACCATTTAAAAAGTATCTTTTAACAACTCTGCAAAATTTATAATATTTATAATCTAATTTTTTGTAACCTTACCTATTATTACTTTTTGTTTCTTTTCGTTTATGATGATATGTATTCTAATTTATTATTTTTAGATAATATATATATAGCGTGTGTACGAAGATAAAAGGATTAATAAAATATATTTTTACCTAGGCTCACCATAATCCTTATTCCCCTTCTTCTCTTCATGGTGCTCCCCGTTTGGCAAAAAAAAAACTCGCCTTATGGAAATTTTTTTCCTCCTCTCTGTAAATATGAATAATTATAAAACGTTTACAAATGAATTCTATATAAATAAAGGAATAAAAAAAGAAGGTAAAATCATTTTGAAATTATTCCCATTATGTTTTGCTTTTCAAACTCATTAGTATTCCTTGTGAAATTTCCGTTTAAGATATATTGTTCGATTTGACTTATAACTGTGATGTACACTACTCTAGAATAATGGGTAGTGACGACGTTTTGTTTGAGTTTGTGAACCTCGAGGATATGATTAATTGTTTTGAATTATTGAATGGCAAATATTACGTATATAAGGAGTCAGAGTTTATCCAATTACATTGCATGTTCGTTAAAATATGAAATGTTATAATTTCTAATACATATATGATTTATTAATAAAATATGGAAATAAAACCTGAATTAATACACAGAATTCCAAAATTGGTTGGACCACTTACTGAGATTTATTTAGATAGAATATTAGGTTATTTTTCGACCAGCACATTATCGGACTCTATTAAAATAAATACTTTGCTTAATAATTTATCAGACGAGGTCTTTGACAATATTAAATCAATTTGTTCCGATACCGACATATTAGATCTTAAAATAGTGACCAAAAAGTTAACTTACCTTTTACCTGTGCAAGAAAGAAACATTATAATAAATAAATTTAACTTATTACAGCAGAATTCGAGTGAGAATTTCATGCAATGGTACATAAGAGTATCGAAACTGCATAAAAAATGTGATTTTTTGGACGACAGTAGATTAAAAGAAAGTTGTCGTTTCTATTTCTATTGTAAAAGTTTTTATCTTTATCGGACTTTTTTATTCAAATAAATTATTTTATCAACATCTGACTTATCGCTGATGCTGTCTAATTTAATTCCTAGCTCAACCATCTCATTTAAAGTTTAATTAAAATTTTTACAAAATTTATATTTTATTTTGTCATTTAAGGTAGATGTACGTAATTTTTCTTTTAATCTAATGTCGTCAGAAAAATTACATTTTTATGCAGTTTCGATACTCTTATGTACCATTGCATGAAATTCTCACTCGAATTCTGCTGTAATAAGTTAAATTTATTTATTAAAATGTTTTTATCTTGCACAGGTAAAAGGTAAGTTAACTTGTCACTATTTTAAGATCTAATATGTCGGTATCGGAACAAATTGATTTAATATTGTCAAAAACCTCGTCTGATAAATTATTAAGCAAAGTATTTATTTTAATAGAGTCCGATAATGTGCTGGTCGAAAAATAACTTAATATTCTGTCTAAATAAATCTCAGTAAGTGGTCCCACTAACTTAGGAATCTTATGTATAAACTCTGGTTTTATTTCCATATTTTATTAGTAAAACATATATATAGGAAATTATAACATTTTATATTTTAACATTTTATATTTTGATAAACATACAATTTAATTCAATGAATTCTGACTCATTGTACACGTAATGTTTGCCATTTAATAACTCAAAACAATTAATCATGTCTTTGAGGTTTACAAACTCAAATAAAACATCTTCGGTACCCCGTATTCTAGAGTAATTCACATCACAGTTATAAGTTATATTAAACAATATGTCATAAATAGAAATTTCATGAGGAATGTTGATGAGTTTAAAAGCAAACATGATAAAAATAATATCACAATGATTTTACCCTTTTTTTTTTCCTTTATTTATATAGAATTCATTTGTAACGTTTTATAATTATTCATATTTACAGAGAGGAAAAAAAAATTTCCATAAGGCGAGTTTTTTTTGCCAAACGGGGAGCACCATGAAGAGAATAAGGGGAATAAGGATTATGGTGAGCCTAGGTAAAAATATATTTAATTATCCTTTTATCTTCGTACACACACTATATATATATATATTATCTAAAAATATAAATTAGAATACATATCATCAAAACGAAAAAAATCAAAAAGTAATAATAGGTAAGGTTACAAAAATTAGATTATAAATATTATAAATTTTGAATATATAACAGCCATAATAATATAATCAAGATATACATTGAGTTGCATTTTATAAAATTTGTGAAAAATATCATTAAAAAAAAGTTAAAATACAATTGAATTTAAAAATTATTGCGATCATTTAAAAAACAGTTTGCATGATTTATGTCGAAAGTAGATGATATAATAGTTAATATAGAGACTAAAAAAAGTAATGACATCTATGTCATTAAAAGGAGTCCAGTTTATCTGGTTTTAAACTGGTCCTTTTCTCTCCAAAGGCCCTACCAGCAGCTGAAAACGCTCTTCCACTGCTAGCCGATAAAGCAGGGGATAGCTAGGAATTTGAGAACCGAAATACGCAAATTTGGAAAGTCATTATGATTTTGTCTTTCGCCAATATTTATCATCTTTCGATACACATAATTTACTTTAATTTAACTCCGAATCTTATAAATAATAAGGCTACATTTACCGGTGGGTTATCACGGGCGAGCTTCCTCGGTTATCGTTAGCTCCACACCCGTTACCCGACCCAATGGTCAGACTCAACCTGCTAATGGTTTCTTCTTTTTTTTTTTTTAAAAATATAATATTTTATACTTATAGAATTTTTTTTTTTTAAAGTTCAAATAGGAAAATTAAAACTATATTTAAAAAATTGAAGAAAAAAAAAGAGGAATGGAAAGACGATGAGAAATAGAAAAATAGAGTGAGTGACAAATAAATTATAAAATGATACGTTTTGATTGACAGATAAACCCCCGATCTTCGGCCCCAGCTCCAAACTGGATATCGAATTGGAGATGGCCTTATTTGTCGGGGGGCCCGAGAATCCTCTAGGAAAACCGATTCCCATATCCGAAGCCCATAAACGGATATTCGGACTCGTGCTCATGAATGATTGGAGTGGTATAATTTTTTTTTCTTCTTCCGAAATTTGAATTTATTTTTGTATCATCTGTTTAATTAATTAAACACTAAAAGAAGAGAGACCTAAAAAAAATGGCGATTAATTTGGTTGGAGAAGCACTTTTTTTGCTTTTTTTTTTTTATATCTACATTGCAATTAATTAGTGGTAAGCAGAGTTGTTAAAGGATCTAGATACAAGTATCTAGATCCTGTATCTAGATATAAAAATGTGGTATCTGTATCTAGATAGATTTTTGATTAAATAATCTGTATCTAGATATTATTTTAGACGTTATCTGTATCTAGATCCATTTAAAAAGTATCTTTTATCAACTCTGGTGGTAAGATACCATTTTCCAAATATAACTCATTTATTTTTTTAACTGAATTTGAAGGTTCTGGCCAGAATCCCTATATCACGTGATGTTAAATTATTCTGTTTGTAGGTAGAAATCCCTAATTATTAGACTCTTTACAAAATAACTCCTCGTTATTGTTAACTGAATACTCTTGCCAGTGTCTATCTCGTAATGTTTCGGACATAGTTGATTTGATTTCAGTTTTATTTATGATTTCACCGCTAATGTTATGATTTCGAAATGATTAGTTATAATTTGAATGATGGTATTTGATTAAAAATTGTTAAAATATACGCGATATCAGGAGGGGGGGGGCGTATCTAGGATTTTACTTCAGAGGTGAAAGGGGATGTAAAAATGTCAATCATAATTTTGAGATGACAGATTTTAAGGAATATTTTTTTTTATCCTAACGATTTTAGAAAAATTCGAAATTATGTATAATAAGGGAAAAAAGATAAAATAAAACTTCTTATTTCGTTTTTTTTCTCTGTTTTTTTTAAACAATTAATTTTAAGTTCTAATGGTTTAGTTAACATTGTTAATTTAATTCCATTTATGTATAAAAATATACATTTCAGAGGGGGGGGGGTGAGGGTCAAATGCCTGCTTGACACTTCAACCCCTCTCCCAACCCCACCCCTAAATACGCTATCGCCTGTTAATGGCTTGCCGGAAATAACTAAATTTCAGGCTACCTCAGAGGTTAGCTCTGACGAAGCTTTGCCTTACTCCTATGTTTTTTTAATCATATAATAGCCAGGGACATCCAAAAGTGGGAATATTTTCCACTGGGCCCATTCCTGGGAAAATCTTTCGGCACATCCATTTCTCCTTGGATCATCACTATAGACGCCTTGAGGCCCTTCATAGTGCCCAACGTTGTGCAGGTTTCCTTATTTATTTATTTCCTTTATTTTTTCTTTCTCTCCTTTATAAATTAAAAAAAAAACCTTACATATCTTCGTCGTTTATTGTTCCTATTCAGGTTTACCCTGGGTAGGGACATTTTCCCTTCTAGACTTTCTCTATTTTAGGCGGTTATTGGCATCTCCCAGTGTCAAACCTAACTTTTTTATGTCATAACTAGCACCTTCATCCAGCACGTCTTTGGTCGCTTCTCTAGGTAATATCTTTAGAGACAATATACTAAGAGCCCCACCCCCCATCCATCTCTTTCCCAATCAATGATGGTTGTTGTTCATTTATCGGCAGAGTTTAGAATCCGAACTAAATGGGAATTCCGGATAGATGTCGCTCTAGACCGGCTAAAATTTTAATTGGCGATTTTTTCGGCTAGTCCCTAAAAAATGTATTTGGCTCGCTAATTTTTTATGAGGGAAAAACCCACATAAATTTTCATAGTTAATTATCTGTTTTAAAACAAAATCAAGCCGACTGGAAAATTATTAATATAATTTGGAGTCAACTCGGACCTAAAGGACTTTATAATCTGTAATTCTAATTCTACTCAATATTTTCTTTTTTTTAAAGAGATATTTTTCAAGATGGTATCCCAAATTAAAATTTTCATGGTTTTTTTTGAACTCTACATTAATGTAAAGCGGCTATCCAACGAAAAAAAACACATTTATTGCTTACTTTTGGACGTAGGCTAAAATGAAATTGTTCTATCTACTCTACGTATAAAATCAATTAACGTAAATCTTCTTCTCCGTTTAACAACGATTTCCAGGCTTACCCAGGTTGGCCAGTTTTCACTCTGATTTAATCATGCAAGGTTTTTACAATCGGATGTCTCCTTCCCTAATATAGGGATATCAAGAATGTCTTTGTGGATTTTTTGCTTTCATTCACGATGCTTCGCTCACTGGATCGACATCAATCCCCCTTAGCTTGGTTTTTTTACACCCCAAAGAATTTTGCGTAATTAAGCCGGCATATGTTTTATTTTCCCTTTAAAAAAAAACCCCTCTTAACCTCTCTATAATTTGTTGTGAAACGTTATTTTTCTCTTTTCACGCCCTAATAAACCCTAAGAATAACTCATTCCGATCGAGTTTCAAAGATGATGGAATGAATCCATACCCGAGCCAGACCTCATGGAATGCCCAAAGCTTCCATTTTTTTTTCAAGTTGATATTGACTATATTTTACAAAAAAAAAATAAGAATGTATATTTTAATTTAAACGCTCGATAGGATCCCGAAGCTATGCCGTACTTGAGACACGCCGACGCTTTCAATTTTAACGTTGATCTGGAAATCCTATACAAAAGTTTTTATAAACCCTCCTCCCCCTTCTAATTATAATTCTCGTTAGTGAGGTAATGTTGTTAAAAAAACGGTTGACACGATATTTTATCCAGAAAAAAAATATCATGCAAGCCTACAGATTCTGCTAATAGATAACACAAAGGTTTTGAACATCTACCAACAAAATTTCTAGGGCTTAGAGGCGATATTTTGTTTGGTTAAAATATTG